TGCATTGTGACTGTCGATATTTTGTTTATTTAATATTAAACAGCCAATTTATACTAGATTCTATCTAGATCTACACCGGATTAGATTTTTTTTTAAATAAGTTTTTTAAACTTGCTCCTTAAACTTACTATGAATAATAGCAACATGAAGTAAAAAGCATTGTATACCATTATATATAATATATTACGGATCACAATAGACCCTACAACAATAATTCATCATTTTCTGGAGTTCTCTCAACAGCTTAACGATTTTGACAAAACGCTCTTATACGTTAAAGTAACATAGTCCTCCATCGAAGCAGAAAATGGCGGGCTTATGACCCGGACAAAAGCGAGCTCCGGATCCGTGAAACAGATGTCGCTGCAGATTACAAGGATCAGTCGATCCCGACACAATTTATTCTGGTAATTCCGTGGAAAAGGCACTCCCCCTACATTGTGACTTCGCGGGGTGACAAAGGAATGGCAGCTGTGCTCCTAATTTCCTCTCCCTCGGGCCCACGGGTCGCCTGCCATTGTGACGAACGGCGAACAAAAAAGTGAAATAGTGGCTCGTATTAAAGATGAATTATTCATAAACAGATAGAAACATCACTGCCCTCCCAAATGATTTATCCTCAGACGTGTGATCCTAATGATGCATAACGGTAGCCCATGTAGCGTATTGTTCCCGACCTGGACAACCTGCGATGGTTTAGGGCCAGAAGAAATTTACAATTCTGATTGGTTAATGATGTATGGCGCCGATCGTTGCACCTTCCTAACTATTCCTCTGGACCTATTTTTAAAATAGAACATTATTCGGTTATCTTCTTTTTCTCCTAGATGCCGTTGATATAACTCGTTTGCCTATAACCATTCTTGTAACTAGATGAACATACACTATACACAGGGTGTCCCGTAAATTAGGGAAATGTTTGTTTCGATGTCTAGGCGTAAAACATCCAGGTCATGAGCGCCCGATCAACTAAACAATACTACTTTTATACTGTTTGTTCCAATAAATAAGAATAACAAAAAAGGATAAAAATAATTAAATAAAAGGATTGATAGAATGAAATAAATAAATAAAATAACAATAAACACCTATAGATATTAAGATAGAATAGATAAATAAATAAACTTTAAAAAAATATGAATAAAATCAATGAATAAGTTAAGATTAATAACCAAATGAACTTTTAAAATAAAAAAAATAAAATGAAGTAAAGTAAATAAATAAATAATAATAAAAAATAAAATAAAAATAATAATAATAATAAACTAATAATATTTATTATTATTATTATTATTATGAGGAAAATATTTATAGGAGTGACAGCTGACTTCAAGAGCTACGAAAGAAAATGTTCATATAAACAATGGGCCAATTTTCAGCAGATAAGTAGGGAATCTTAGTTTTATTTTTTTCAAATTGGTCATGTTTTTTTATTGAATACGAAGCGATAACTAAAGAAATACTGAAATAATAAAGAAATATATAAGTTGTTTTTTTGGGTTTAGGGGCAGAAAACTGCTGACGGTTATCATTGCCCTCAAATTGTACTGGTTGATTTATTTTTCAATCATAAAACTGCTATTATAAAATTAAAAATGTTTTAAAAAATAATAATAAAAAAATTATATAAATTACTATCGCGAAGAAAAAGAAAAGAGAGAAAAAAGAATAGAGTAAGTAGAAATTAAGTCAATATATCGCAAATTTGTGAGAAAAAATAATTTAGTTCCGATTAGTTGAATTAGCCATATGTTCTTAATGAATTCAATGGTACTATTGATAGAGATATATAAGTAAATAACAATTTATTGACAATGAACTAGACAAAATCTACTTTAAAAAAAGTATAGTGTGTCAAGTTTAAAACCATTTAAAGGTGACTTTTGTGCTGATAAACAAATAACTGCTGAATTATGTTTTAAAAAAAATCAAAACCTATTCGCGATTTTTTAAAATCATTATCTAACTACAGATACCCCACTTTTATAAAAACTTCCTCGTGCTTTAAGCCCATATTAATTAATTTAAGGTTTATACGGGGAAGATTTGAGATCCATCTTTTGTATAATAAAAAATATTATTACACCTGAAAGTACCCGTGGTTTCAGCAAACATCATCACAATTAACTGTTTTAAAGTTTCAATTTCTTGTTTGTTTTGATGTCTAGGCGCAAAACTTTCAGGTCATCAGCCCCCGATAAATTAAATAACATTACTTTTGTACTGTTTGGATGGTTAGTACAAAAAATAAGAAATTGATAAAAAAAATAAATAAAGATAATAATAGACCCATAGATAATAAGATAGAATATATAAATAAATAAACTTTTAAAAAATAGCGATCAAATCAATAAATGAATTGAAATTAATAAACACATGAACATTGGTAGTGATTACTTCTTGATTTCCCAGGGATGCTGGTATATTCTATATAACAATTTCTTGATCTGGGGTGTATTATAATAAAAATAATTGCCTAAATACATTTTTCATTAATAAAAAATGTTAAAAATGATGATTTTGTATCTTCTTGAGGCGAGAAAATAGCTAAATTTCCAAAATATTTTAAGAGGAAAAACTAACGAAAAAAGATACTTAATTTGTGTGCAATTTATTTAATTAAGTGTACACTTTGTGATAATTACTTAAATGGTTTTCTAAATGTTATACTATCCTAAAATCAAACCTTATTATTAGCAAAGATACAACCTATTGTAATTTTTTACGCAGATGTATTTCGGTTTATTATTATGAATGATGTCTTTTAGTTCGCCGAAAAAAAAGAAAAAATGATAATAATTCCTGAATATATATTGCTTTGGCTTATTTATATATTATTTTGTAATTTGTTCAATTTCTGACATGTATAATCAAATGAGAGATATGAAATATTATCTCCTACGGCTGTCGTTACACTCGCATATGTTTTTTTGTATTTTTTATATATTTACTCCAGTGTGTCATGTATTATTGTTAACTCACATTTTTTTTTTCTTCTCTTTTTAGGTAAGTGGCATTGTAGAACTACTAGGAACTTAATACTCCTGGTGAGTACTGGTACTAAATATATTTAACCTAATTCTTGATCCAGAGTTTCTCTAAAATGCTTGAGATTCGTTTTGTAATTCAATATAATCTATCCATAATTGAGGAAATATGCCGTACGAAATGGAAAGTCTCCACCTATGCTTTTTGCTACTTGATGTGCTTATATAATTCAAACTTTATTTCAAAGTTAAAATCGTTTTCAACTCAGCATTACATTGGCTAGCTAATGGCTAAAAAATGACTCTCTCTCTGCCAATACAAAAGGTTTGTATTCACCCAGTAGGCTATTCAGGATTCAATTTTGGGAGAAAGGGATAATCAAATTTTTAAATGTTTTAATAACGGTAGTTATAGGATGAAAAGTTTATATTTTATTTGACGTAAAAAAAAAATTAAAAGTTTTAATTGATTATGTATTTGGCCCTGATCAATTATAGAAACAAATACAAACCAATTAAAAAAATCATAATAGAAAATTAAGTATAAATACAAAAATCTAAACTACAAAGCCATGAGTCTCCAACATACATGTGAATAGTTAACCTGCCAACATTTCGCCAATTCAGCCATCATCAGGGCTGAAAAACCAAGATCACTTATATGTAGAAAGCAAAAACGAAAGGAAAAAAAAAATAATAAAAAAAAATTATTGTAGTAGACATCTTTCTAAGCCATCCAAATACACAATGAAGAAAATAGAAGGTTCTATTAACACAGCTAAGGAAGGTAATATAAGGGGGATAAAAATACGCATAAATAAAAAACCTAGTTCTGCCATAAATACTGTTATAAAAATTTTTTTTTTGGGACCTCCCCTTCCTCGCCTTTAAGGCTATACGGGGTTCTCCCGGGCCCCGGGGAGCAGGGAGTGTGGGCGGGGATTTAAAATACTCCGCCGGCACCGGGATGCGAACTCGGAACTATTTTTCACCTGTCAGGCATTGCTGTGCACACTCGTTAGCCCATTCGGCCATCCCGCCCACTGTTGTAAAAGTTAAACTTTGTTTACATCCTCGCTTATTATTTAAATAATCCTTACTTCTATCAGGCTAGTTTCTTTACATGTCAGGATAATAATCCCACTTAGTTTGTAGTTTTGTTTCGCTCACTTATCATGGAGTGGGGTAACCGAAAAAAACCCGAATAGCTCTGATCGCCTTAAACAAAGTTGGAAAATGTAGATCACAGATTTTCAACACTATGAAATCTTTGGGTATCGCCTGCACGTTCGTGTAATGCACTATAAATAGATATAATGACACCTTATCTGTATGTGACAGACCTCGACCGTTCTGTGAGAACGACAAATGCAGTGGGAGCAGTGGTTGAATCAGAAGAAATTCCATTCGAAAACAAGTCACGAAAAATAGGAATCTCTGTCAGAACTATGTCTTGTATAATAAAAAGTAACCTAGGATAGGATACATTTCGAATAATGGCAGGACAAAGGATAATCACTGTCTTAAAAACAAATTAGAGTGGATAGATGCTCCTTGGCCGTTACACCAATGGTCATCACCGAAAGATTTTGTCTAGCGATAAGAAAACTTTTACAATTGAAGAAAAATTTAATCGCCAAAATGATCGTGTGTGCGCACACAGCTCTAAAGAAGCCCAGGAAGTCATTGGAAGAGTGGAAAGAGGTCATACATCACCTTTCCTCATTGATGGTTTGGTGGGGAGTTTGTTTTGATGGCACTACTTCCATTTTTGTGAAAAATGACAGCTGCTATAAGTTAGAACAACTGCGAAACACTATCAGGACGATATTTTGGAATCTGGAAGCTGGAAGTCATTGGGTTTTTCAGCAGGATTCAACTCTAGTTCACAAGGCCAGGTCAACTCATCAGTGGCTGCAACAGAACATTCCAGAGTTCATCTATGCCTCGGATTGGTCCTCAGGGCGCCCAGATCTCAATCCATTAGATTAGCTTTGGTCCGAACTGGAGAGGATGGCATGCCGCATAGCACACCTTAACTTGGAAAGCCTCAAACAATATCTGGTCCGAACAGTTGAGCTCTTTCCTCAAGAAGTGCTACGTGCTGCTATTAATGACTAGCACATAGGAGGTTAAATGCTTGTGTCAAGGCAAGTAATTTTCTTCTTTTTTTTTTTTTTTTTATACTTTCTTACAGATATACATTTTATTTTCTATTAAAGTTTTTGAAAAAATTAATTTTTTTGTTGAAATCTGTATATATTTCGTTGCAACAATATTTATGACAGGACTATTATACAGGAATATTATATAATGTGTTAAATTAAATTTAAAAAACTAAAATAACAAATTAATAAATTAAAATAAAAATAAAAAGTATGGTTTGTTTCTTTCCTTTTTGTATTTTATATCAGTATATAGGTATGTGATCCTGTTTTTTCTGCCCTGATGATGCCTTGATTGACGAAATGTTGGCAAGTTAACTATTCACCTGTATGTTAGAGAATCATGGCTTTGTAGTTTTGATTTTTCCATTTATATTATAATCACCTTTTCTAGCTTTATGTTTATTTTAGAAAATAAAGGTTTGAAAAATTACATGAAATGATATAATAAACTTGAGACTGATTTGAATGATAATTTTGTATAATTGAAATTTAATATATACAGTAAACCTATTATACAAAAAAAATATGATTTTCAATTTTCCTATGAGGGAAGAGGGTGTTGTGAGAGGGAGGAGAGAGGGATGCTTCTACCCTAAAGATTCTCTGCCCCTTTAAATCCACCAGTCCATTCACCTGAATGTTTTTAGTATGAATAATAATATTGCTACACGTATTTCAGATCTATAACTATGATTTATTCCTCTGACCTATGTTAAACAGATTTATTTTGTGTTTACAGTAGTTAATGAAATAACATACTACAAAGGGAGACAAACATTTTTTACCAGGACCATTATGCAATATTTGAACAGAGTTATAGGTCTTGATAAACATGAGATCATTGTATATGATACATGAAAATTAGTTGTGATATATCTCACACCAATACATCACAAATTAAAATACAGGAGGTTGAACCACTGAGAAGAGTATATAACAATCAATGATTTTTCTATTTTGACGTATTTTGAGAAATGACATAAAATATGTATGTACGTAATGCAATGAAAATACTCAACTTTGTGCTTAGTTGGGACGATCCGTTTTTTAAACGTGAGCGTGTCAAGGAAAATACGTTTGTCATGGCGTCAGCAATAGATATCTAATCTCAATATTTGAACCAAGCACAAGCTGTTTTCTAAAAATAGTTTTATGAAGGGAGACACGTAAGTGAACTTTGATAAAATTTATAAAGAACCATCCAGATATAAAATCTTATTGCAAAACTGAAAGTGGTTTTTCATGCAGCAGTCATGCATAACCCGATTACCAAAAATGGTTAAAAAATAAAAAACCTCGGAACCAAAATATAAAAATATCCTTTTGTGTCTCGACGTTAATTGAAAATGGATAATCATTATTAGTTTGTTAATTAATATTTCCTGAGTGAATTAAATATTTGTTTTTGAATCTTCCAATAATATAGTACCATTAATTTCTATCTACATAGATATGTCAGTGTTTTTTAAATATTTATTTACCTTTGGTTAATTTTAGTTGTATTTATTGTATATCGTTCCTGTTAGTGTTAAAGATCGTATAAAAAAAAAGAGTATCAGACTTTATATATCCATAGCATCAGACTTTATATTGCATTTTCAGGCTACGAAATGTCACATTTAGCACAAATAGAGTTAACATAGAAAATTTTGCACTAACAGTAGCCATATAATTTTTGATTATTATTTAGCCGTAATTTTTCTTCAGTTTATTTTATATTTTTATAGCGGTAATGTGATCTTATTCACTATTGTCCACTCGATAGAATGTTAAATTTCAATTTTACCTATCACTTTCACTCTTCGACATGGAACATGCCCTCCGATTTACCTTGACAACGCCGAAATTCCTCAAACAGATAAAATACAATATCTTGGACTGACATTTGGCAGAAAAATGACACGGGGTCCACATATCAACAAAAAAAGAAAAACTTTAAACCTCAGACTACGAATGTTATACTCACTTTTCTGAAGACGCTCAAAAATTAAATATAAACTAAAAACTGAACGGTTACAATTATCTATTTAGGCCCATATGGACCTACGCTTCACAAATTTACGTAACAGCCAAAACGACCCACATACGATAACTACAAATTTTTCAGTCTAAAACTTTCAGAACCGTAACAAAGCTCCATGGTACGTCACAAACATTACATTACATAAAGACCTTCAAATGCCTACAGTTAACGATCACATACGGACACACTACAGGCGATTTCACAATAACTTACAAGGACATACTAACACACTTATACAAAGTATGGCTACATTTAACATGCTCGAAAACACAGTTAGGATGCTCAAAAGGAGCTGGATGAGGAATTTCCTCGCTTAAAAATATGCTAAAATCAAGACCGGAAGGGATGCCGCTGGGCACTCCTCTCCATCATCACTCCTCTCCGATCAAGCCACTACCTGTACACTTACCGACAGCAGACCCGCTAATTGTCATTGCTTATGACATGTGTGGGTGAATAAATGAAGTTGAAAAAAAAAACTATTATTTTTTTTTAACTGTAGAAAATATGGAATCGTATGCATACCAAATTTAGTACGTAATTTAGCAAGATTTTTTTACTTTATCTTTTTGGAATCTTCCACTAATATATAGTACCATTAATTTCTATCTATCATCTTGAATTTCGATTTTTATTTATCAGTCAATTAATTTTTTAACTATAGAAAATATGAAATCATATAAATGCCCAGCAGGAGTAGCTCGTTTCAATAATAAAGTACATCGCTCCAAGTCAGTTCAAAATATTATGTTTTATTTTCTATGCATGTAATGATAAATTGGTACGATTTATAATTCAATTATACTAGAAGCGCTGCCGTCAGTTACCGGAGCTTGTGACGTAACCCGTTACACGAAATGGGTCAGTGACTCAATGGCAAAGGTATTCGCTGGGGCATCGGCCATGAATTATGGGAACCTGCTGCCAGCTATCGGTTCGGCGGGGAAATGTAATGAACCCTGAAAGATGTATGAAAGAGGAGTGTTATCAAGTGAGCAAGCCCTGCTCTAATGAACTATGAATATGAAAGTAGTCAGCTAAGATCCCTTTGCCATCCGCCAGAATACAGTCAGAATCCTTGAACGGGTCGTCCTCAGAATTGTGAGGAAACCGATGTGTGAGTTGATAATCTGAACGAGTTTCATGAAAGCTTAACAGGGTGAAAGGTGATGAGTGGGATGGGTAACGGACATTGAAGGTGTAGTAATGGAAAAGAGAAATGTTTTAATGGACCAAAAATAATTAAATAAAAATAAAAACCGTAAAAAAAAAAAACAACAACTAATATATATAAATATAAACAATGACTGCTCAGTTTCTAGACAGAGGCAGAGGAGAACTGCATAAATTTGTTGGCGAGTATAGGTTCTCTAAATATAGAATAGCTAGTTTATATCCTAACTTCGATATTTAACTTCTGAAGGCTTAATAATAAACTTATACTAACCATACCCTTTATGTGTCAACTCTACTAATGGATTTATACCTTAGGAAAGGAACCTTTCTATAATTATTTGTTAGTCAGTCATAATAGAGGTAGCAGTATTTCTTTGGATTTTATTGTTTCTATTTCTATTTATAAGTAAATACACACCTAACTTAATTTGTTAATTTTTCGTAAACTAAATAATTAAATATTAATAATGAATTATAACGCTAGATTAATTAGATCCGATTGCGCATAACAATCGGAAGTGGTTACCAATCAAATAAACTTGAAATATATACCACAATCCATGTAGTGTCTTAGGTTCGATTTATGGTGTGTAGTTTCTTACTGTAATGTTTGTCACAGTAACATCTTTATTAAATTAAACATGTCATCAGCTGTTTTTTGCCTCGAATTTTAATTAAATTTAATTAAATAAATTTTAATTAATCAATTTTAGTTTCCATGACTAATATTGTAACCCTATAAACCAGGTTTAAAATTACAGTCTTTTGAGTCACTTCTAAAAAAAACACCACGTCTTTATGTTAGTACCATATATTTTTATAAAAAAATAATTCTTTTTTTAAAGGGAAGATGTTTCATGATTGCGAAGTTCCAAATAAAAAAAAATTCATAACCGAGATTTTATTTTTACGTTTCTCTCACGCCAGATCTGATTCTGAGAAGTCATTGTGAATAATTGAAAATTCAGAGAACGAAGCTGTAACGTGATGAACATAAAAAAAGTAATAAAAATATAGTTTAGTTTCACTCAGGTTACGAAGAATTAATTTTTGAAACTACACCCCGCAAGGGTTTTAATTTCATTCTTATCGATTTTGAACGGACCGACGTATTACGTTGTACAACCTTAGTTTAATTTAAGAAAAATCTTTTGAATTGTAGAATAGTTCGTGTTTACAGATAATGGACCAAGAAGATTGATATTTTACACTAAATCTCCTAATATTTAAAATGAATCTTGTATCTTCTCTATAATAATTATAGAATTAATTAACTAATTATTAGTCGTTGCTAAAGTACAAATTATAATATGCATATATATTTAACCGAAAGAGTGTAATGTTAATTAACAATATTTTTATCAAAAATATCAAAATATCTGTTTAAAAATTGTAAAATAAAGTTATTGTCTAAGATAAATATTTTTTTTTCCTTTTTATATAAAGTTTCTTTTAAATTAAGTAGACGATATCATTTCGGTCCAATTCATTCTAAACTTCAAAACATATTTATGTTATTTGCAATTAAAGTATGTAAATTTTTTATATATAAATAATAAATAATATTTATATAAATATGTTTACATATAAATATCAACACCGTTTAAATTCATATGAGCTTTAAATACTCTCATTGAGCTAAAACGAAAAATAATTTGAATTTTGAAAAATTAAGGTTTTACTCCAATTTCGAACAATATTGAGTACAATTGAATTACATTCGTGGAAAGTATATTGGAGTAGTATAGAATTACTGATTTTATTGCAAGTCATATATGGAGTCCGAAATCCAAGAGGCTCTTTCTAAACACATCGATGGTAAACATCGCTGGGTTTCAGCGCGTTTCTTTACTGATTAAGTGAATCACTAATGTCTCAGCGGACATTGGAACAGCGCTGGATGTAACATCACGATAAACTCATAATCCGTGGTACAGACTCCTTTTTATCAAATTATTAACATCCACCTGAAACTTAAAATGGCTTCTTCTCATCGTAAGCTACAAATATTTTATTTTTAAATAATTAAAAACTAAAAATAAAAATATGTAAATACTCACTTGCTTTCCACTTGGATCGTTAGATAATTTGAGCAGAAAGTCGAGAAAAAAGGTGGCCAACTATTTATTCTGTTTTACTTCATTTTCAAAGACCCCAAAATATTTTTCTTTTTTTAAGATAAGCCACGTTTCGGAAACCTTTACTTTCTGTAATGTAGACGCCTTGGTAATTTTGAAATCGATAAATAACAAGCTCTACTAATTTTTAATATTGTTTTTTTCTGTAGAATTTCGTTCTTTCGATCATTGTGGCATCTATTTGTGTATGTGAAACAAATATCTTTTTAATTATTATAAATTTTTGATAATAACTATGTTTATTTATTAATATTTATTTGACGCGAAACAGCCCTGAAGGACTACGCGGCTATGAAACTGGTTTCTTTTTCAATTTCCTCTTTTCTGCCCATCTCTGCTTTAGGATATCGCTAAATTTTTTCTTCCTCTCCTCCGTCCACTTCCTCCTGGATGGATGTTCCTTGCTGTCCACCACATGCACCGCACTTTTCAGGAATTACTTGTATTCTGTCCTTTCCTCACATAATTCCCGTGTTATCGCAAACCTCTGTATTTCCTGTTTTATTTGTACCGTATATCCACTTAAAATTAAAAATAAAATAAAATAATAAAAAAATAAAATTAATAATAAAAAAAATAACTATGTTTATTTATAACTTATTAAAATTTAATGATATATTGGGAAAAAAATATTATAATAGAGATATAGTTGACCACAGGTCGCATGAAAGTGAAAAATAAAATGTTTTTATAATGTTAGGATGCATTATAGTTCGCCGTTAAATAGTTAGTTAATGGTCCATTTGTCGAAAGCACTCTTGGGACCGCATAGCCATAGTAAACTTTAATAAGGAAATACATTTGTAAAGCTCTAAATTGTTAAAGATTGAGCGGACAAGCTCAAGTAGCGTGAAAGAGGAATGTTTGCAGACAGAAAGAAAATGGCTCCGAGCTGGAGACAGAGCGAGGAAACCGTCCATTAGCCGTTAGACAAATTAACGGAAGCTGTTCGTGAAGGATTCCAAGCTTGCTTGCAGTCCCGCCGATCTGGGCTCCGTCCTAGGGAGTGCTTTCCTAGGAGACATCTTTGTTTTCCGCTCTTGGGCGCTATTCCCTCAAGAGTGTCTGCTACAGCACATACGTTTTAGGTGGAGCATGTTATCGCATGGTGATTTATAAACTGCGAGGAACTAGAAGTAACGATTAAATCGGAGCGTGAATGATAGCATGGTGAACAGACTGACGTGTAGCTCAGTCAAATTAGTACAAAAAAGGGTTTCAGCTTGCAAAAGGTCGGGTAATCCATATTTCTTTTTTATATTGTTAGGCATGCAGTGAATATAAAAAATCCAAGTTTCCGCCCTTGAAAGCCTAGTGGGTTCGCTGCAATGCTCAAAAAACCATCGAAATTTCTACTATTTTTGGTTTACGCTAAATATCTCCTTTTTAGACAAACATAGATAAAAAATGGTTATATTCAATCGTTAACACGGGCGGGTCTACGGGGGAGGGGGCTTTCGGGCTGAAGTCCCACAAAATGGTAAAATATAACCATGTTTTTTGAAAACAGAAATTTAAAAAGTACCTCTTAAAGTATTATTGTTCGTGTAATTACATTTAAAAAGACTTAAGGAATCACTTAAACAGCATTTCATATAGGTAGTTAGTTTCTTTCTGTTTTTCTTTTCTGTTCGAACTGAAGCCCCCCCTATAAAAAAAAAAATTATATCCTGGATCCGCTAGTGATCGTTTACAGCTTAAATTAAAATTATCTAACATTTTTTTCTAAACCCAACAGGAAACGAAATATCAAGCTTTTAAAATAAGTAAAGTTTTGATGAAAATAAATTTACAATTAAATAATTGTATTAATATTTGTTTGTTAATACAATCATTATAGCATACTTTAACTTAATAATGTTAGTAGTTAATGATGTGACAGATGGCGCCTATGCCAGTTTCATTTTTCCGCCTAATAAGTTTTTTTTTTTCTAAGTAACTGCTTTAAATATTTTAACAACTAATCAGTGTAGTATAAATAGAAATTTATTTTTCAGATGTTTTATTTTGGAGCGTTTTTCGTTATTTTTGGCAGTTTATTTGCTTGATTTTTAACATTGGTCTGAACGACTTGAAAAACTTAACTTTACTGGTGATTTTTTATTGCCCAGGCCAGTGATTTTCTAATATTTTTCTTAATTTTTTACTATTTCCTAACTATACAGCTTTAATAAAAGGCCAATTATGAAGAAGTTAAGCCAAATGCTGAAAGTCAGCGTCCGAAAAACTAACTCAAGTCAAAGACGTCAATATGTTATGTGTGAACGCCATTTTAGGACAGTGCTAATATAATAGATAATTACTAGCAGCGCAACTTTATACAATTGATTGGGATTTGCGGTGATAGTGTACGATTGTATATAAACATTTTTTATCTATGTTGCTCTAAAAAGGTGATATTTAGCGTTAACCAAAAAAAAAAAAATCCGAATTTCAATGATTTTTGCTGCATACCCAACAATATAAAAATTTAAATTACCAGACCTCTCGCAAAGTAAATTGTCTAATTTGACTGGCCTAATTCATAGGCTACTCTTTTAGTATCAAATGCTGTGAACAAATTTGATTTCACGACTCAGAGATAATAATTTGTATTTAATCACAGTTCTCTGGTACCCTATAGCTGCTTTTAAGTTAAATTAATTACTT